AAAAGGAAAATTAAGAAATAAATGGAAGATTGAAAGAAGTACTTTTCTCCCTAGATCAGAAGCATGACAAGGATGCCTATATTGCCACTTTTCTATGTACTATTAAAGTTCTGGCAGAGAAATTATGCAGGAAAAAAAGGCATCCAAGTTGGAATTGGAAGAAAAGTAAAATTATTTCTGTCCAAGATGATATGATATTATGTAGAAACCCTAATGGTTTTCAAAAGAAGAAAACGTGTTGAGGGGCTGGGGATTTAGCTCAGCGGCACAGCGCCTGCCTGGCAAGCACAAGGTCGTGAGTTCGGTTCCTGGTACCGGAAAAAAACAAAAACAAAAACAAAAAAAAAAAGCGTGTTGACATTAATAAGTGGATTCAACAATATTCCAAGGTAAATCAAGAAACAAAAATGCAGTTGTGTTTCTATTCACAAGCAGTGAACAGTCTGTAAATGAAATTAAGGAAATAATTTCATTCACAGTAGCATCAAGGAGTAAAGTAGTTAGGAATAAACTGAACTAAGGAACCAAAAGACTTGTACTCTGAAAACCTCAGAGAAAGGAAATAATACCAAAATACATATATTTCCCATGTTAAATGGATTGAAAAACTTAACATTGTCAAGAAGCTAGTCCTGAAAGTGATTTGTAGATTGAAAGCAATTCCTATCAAAATTTTAATGGCATTTTTTGCAAAAATAAAAAAAGACATTCTAAAATTTGACTAAATTTCAAGAGACCCCAAAGTAGCCAAAACAATTTTGAAGAAGAATAAAATTGGAAGACTTAAATGTTTTGATATCGAAACTTAAATACAAAACTGTAATAATCAGTAGTAGTGTGGTACTAGCAGAAAGACCAACGAATCAAATGCAGTACAGAGCGTAGAAATGATTCCGTCCAGACAGAGTCAAATCATTTTCCACAAGGGTGCTGCTATGGATCTTGAATGTACCCCAAATGTCCATATGTTGAAAACTTGGTCCCCATCCTGTGGCACTGTTGAGAGGTAGTAGAACCTCTCCAGGTGAGGCCTTCTGGGAGGAAATTAGGTCACTAGGGCCATGCTCTTGAAGGGGGATATTGGAACCCTGGCCCCTTTCTGTCTCTTTCTTTGTGGTTGTCAGTGAGGTGAATGTCTTCTGCTCATGTGATTCTGCTGTAATGTACCTTGCTACAAACTCAAAAGCAAGGGGAGTAACTGATCATGGAGTGAAACCCCTGCAACTGTGAAGCAAAATAAACTTTTTCCTCCTTTGAAGTTGAGTATTTCAAGTATTTTGTTACAGCACTGGAAAGCTGACCAATAACAGCAATGGGGAAAAAATAATCTTTTCAGCAAACAGTTTAGGAAAACTGGGTAGCTGCAAAAATAACAAAAAAAGAAAGAAACTAATCCTGTACACAATTTGCAAAACTTAGCTCAAAAATAGATGAAAGATCTAACAAGCTGGGTGTGGTGGCACATGCCTGTAATCTCAGCAGTCAAGAGCCTGAGATAGGATCACTGTGAGTTAAAGGCTAACCTTGGCTATATAGTGAGTTCAATACCACCCTGAACTGTATAGTAAGAACCTGTCTCAAAAATAAAATACAAAAAAACAAAAAAACCCCCAAGAACTAGATAAAATATTAATGACATTAGATTTGGCAACAGTTTTGAGAAAACAGCACAAAAGCACAGGTAACACAGTATGTAGAAGTTCATCAAAATTAATATTGTACATACAATCTGTGCAGTGACACAAACCTGTAAACTCACTAGATGGAAGGCTAGGACAGGAGGAGTGCAAATTTGAGACTAGCCAGCCAGCTTACACTGTTTCAAAATGAAATTTAGAAAAAGGGATGGGGATATAGCACAGTGATAGAACACTTGCAAAAGTATATGCATTAAAAGGTACTCTTTTAGAGTAAAAAGGTAACCCTTGTCTAGGCTAAAATGTTTGCAAATCAAGAATATGATGAAAGATTAGTATCCCTGTAAAAAACGTGTATAGCTCAGTCACAAAGAAGTCAATAGGCAAAGAATTTAGACATTTAGTGTGAGGATATGCATATAAATGGTCAGTAAGCATATGAAATGATTTTAATTAATGACATTGTTAATCATTGGAGAAATACAAGTCAAAGGCACAATGAGACACCTATTATGATGACCATTATTGTTATTTGCCATGCCACAGATTGAACCCTGGGCCTTACCACTGAGCTACATTCCCATCCCTTTTTTATTTTGAGACATGGTCATACTACGTTGGCCCAGGTTGGCCTTGAACTTGTGATCCTCCTATCTCAGTCTCTTAGAGTATCACCATGACTGGCATTTATTTATGCATTAAGAAAAATAAGTGTTGGTGAGGGTATAGAAACATTGGAACTCTTGTGTGCTGTTGGGAATGCAAACTAGTGTAGAGCCTGAGGGTGTAGCTCAGTAGTAGAACGTGTGCTTAGCATTCACAAGGCCCTATGTTCAATCTCCAACACACACAGACATGCACAAACGCAGATAGAAAACTGGCAGGTCCTCAGAAGGTTAAACAGAATTGTCCTATGACCCAGAAGTTAATGAATGAACTAGAAGGGAAGTTGTAATAAGCTGGAGTGTCTGATTTATTGATCAGAGAGGTGATGTTCCAGGTAAAATCTAGAAGCAGTGTAAAACCCACGGGGAATTTAAACTTGGGAAATGGTCAAAAGCAAAATTCAGATTCAAGTTTGTCATCTCTTTTAACAATCCTTGTCATATTACGGAACCTTTCTTAACGTTTGTCACTGTTAGGATGGAGATACGTATGCCATAGTCATCAATATTATACAATTAAATGCTTTAAAAAGGTAGAATTGCCAGCACATTTAGGTAAGAAGCTTAAAATGACAAAAACAGAAAAGTGATTGAGGAAATACTTAGTCCCAAAATTTAAGAAGGATGACAGATCTCAGATTGAAATAAGGATGACAGATCTCAGATTGAAAAAGTTCACGTAGAATACCATATGAAGAAAAAAAAAAACCCACATCTGTACACAAAATAGTGAAACTTAATACTATCAGAAATAGAGAAAAGTTTAAATGTGAACAAATGACATAATGAAATTTAGGTTGAGATTATGCTTTGCAACAGTCTGGACAGCAAGAAGATAACAGTAAAAAATTTTTTAGTATTGGAGAGAATATTGGAGTAGAGGAACTGTTTTAGTCACTTTCTTGTCACTGAGCACAATACCTAACACCCACAACTTTAAGGAGAGGTTTATTTTGGCTTATAGTTTCAGAATTTTCAGTCTGTGGTCTTCAGGCTCCATCCAAGACAGAAATAACATGATGGAAGACCCTGCTAAGGAGGAATGCCACTCATGTCATTGAGGCTAGGAGAGAGAAGGGAGTCCCCAGGGGAGGGAGATTGACCCTCCCAGGTCACACTCCCAGGGAGCCACCTTCCAATAGTACTTTCCATTCTGAATTCATTTATGGCAGTGTTTCTGTGATCCAGTCACCTTCCAAAGACCCACCTTTGAGTGCGTGAGACTTTTTGGGATCCTTCTTGGTCTAAACCATAGCAGGGGAACTATGTCTGCAAAACATGATGGGGACTGGGTGGAGGGGAGACCTAAGGACAGTGAAAAGGCAGAGATTAATAATATAAAAATTTTTTCTTCATAGGAAGTACAAAGTTGTAATTCAGAATTATGTAAGTGGGAGACATATGGATAGTGTGTATATGAAAACTGAGTATACTAACAGTGCTTTTGCTTTATGGGTTTACATCTATTGCTAGTTAAATTATCAGAAATTTTAAAAAGTTAGTTCTTGGTTAATTTAAATTAGCAATAACATGCTCCTTATATGTTAACATAGGTGACATGCTTTCATGAAAAATATTTTCTAAAGTAGCAAAGAACTTAGAAGCATGGCATTGTGTTTTGCATATCTTTAATATTGGTTTAATACAGTGGGGGCGAACCAATGGCGTGTTTTTCTAAGATAAAAATGTTAATGTATGAGTTTTTTCTAAACTAAAACCTCAGTAGCGAAGTTTAATTGTAGTGTTGGCAATTTATGATAAATAAGTTGTTTTGGGTTAAGGTTTGGCACTCGGTTTCTAAAAAATGTACCATCACTGGTTTAATGAAAAGTGCTTGAATTCTCTTACTTGCTACTGTGTTGAACTGTGTCCCTTTGAAGTATGTAAGGAGAATTTTAGGACTCATGGGTCTTTTGAAAGGGTCTTGGGAGTACTTAGTGGCCTTCAGACCACACTTCGAGAACTACTTTTTTGCCTGATATGTTACTTAGCTGTTACTCACACTATCTGGTGTCTTCTCTAATGCCAAAGCAGATTTCTCTGTCTCCCATTTTTATTTTTGCTATTTCATACCTTACATTCTCCTCTAATTTAACACTAATTTTTCTCCATCAATCTTTCATTGATTATTTTCTACGACTATTCCTTTTCTAAATTATGTTTGCAAATATAGTTAGTTCTGTATGATTTGTACTTAAGAACTCGTAAGTTTCCTGTGCTGTGTCTTGTCTTTTCAGCTACATTCGGAGATTCTTTAAAGTAGGGAGTCTGTAAAATTGAGAAATCAGGACTGGAAGTGGAGCTCAGTGGAGCTCAGAGGACAGGCCTGGAAGTAAGAGTGAGGCCCTTAGCATTTGTGAGGCCCTGAGTTAAACTCTTACTGCCAAAATAAACAAAAACCTGGGAAGACAAAACAAGATTTGTTTTGGTATACCTACACATCATTAAGTACAAATATTTGTACTTCAAAATAGGTATTATTTGTTGATTGGTAGGAAGTAATACTCTCCAGAAAAACATACCACACATTTTCTTAAATGGTTTATTGGGAAATTATATTATCTTACTCATCACCTACAACATGGTAATACTTTTGGCAAGTACTACTTTAAGAGATCTTGTTAATTAAAATAATTTGTTTCAGGCCTCTTAGTCCTATAAACCACTTATTAATTAACATATTTTCTTGCCATTTCAGAAAAAAGCCAAAGGACAAGAGCTGTTTGATCAGATTATGTACCACCTGGACCTTATTGAAAGTGACTATTTTGGTCTGAGATTTATGGATTCGGCACAAGTAGCAGTGAGTAACTTTCAGAGATTACATTATGGGACAGGAATAGAAAATTTCAGATGATATGCTAAGTACTAGAAGGCTATTTTTTTTCCTTCCCCATTGAATTCAGGGCCTTCACACTGAGCTGCCATCCCCAGTCCATTTTATATTTTTTATTTTGAGATCGGGTCTCACTAAGTTGCCCAGGTTGGCCTTCATCTTGGGATCCTCCTGCCTCAGCCCTTCCCAGGGATTATGGATGTGCACCACTATGACCAGTTAAGGGTACAGACTGTATTCTTAATATATTATTTCATGTGATTTCCAGCTATCTAAATTTTGACTTTTATTTAAAGTCAACAGAAATGCTTAGTAAATATGGGAGTTCTGACCTGAGTGTGTGGTGCACACCTGTAATACCAGTTACTCAAAAGACTAAGGCAAAAAGATTGCAAGTTTGAGGCCACCTTGGGGAATTTGGTGAGACTTTATCTGAGGATGGATTGAGGGTGGAGCTAAGTGACAGAGTGCTTGCCTAAATGTGTGTTAAGGTCCTGTGCTTATTTCCCAGTACTGCACCCCAAAAAGTGAGTTCTGGTCCTAACCTGAATTACTAGAGCAGAATGCTTGAGGATAGGTCTTGGGAATCCATGTTTTTAATATCCACTGGCTTAGTTGTGTTGGCACACTAGAATTTGTGAACCACTATTTATTGAAAAGAATGCTACACTGGGAGTTTTATGGGTCTTGGGTAAGTGATACAAATTTCTAATTAAGAAATTAGATGAATAGACAGGATATTCACAAGATCCCTTTCAGATTTATCTGTGGTCTTTGATGTGCATTTTATTTATCTTTTTATGTGCATTTGAGATAAAAAAGAACAGCATATGTAATAGAAGAAAGGTTGAAGGCTGTTCAAAGAACTGAGTACTGCATTAGGATTTTTGAAGGAAAGTAGTGGATAAGATTGGGAGTTGTATTATTGGACATATCTAAACTGCTTATCAAACTTATGAAATAATAAATTGGGCAGTATTCATTTTCTAATAATTGGGATTAGATATTTTTCAAGCAGGGAGATTATATTTTGCTTCAGAAAGTTTTATGTAGAAATATTGGGCAGGATTTTTTTTTTTAGAGTGGACAGAGATTTAAATCAGAAGAGATACTACAAACTTGGGTGATAAAAATAGTATTAAAACCATGACAGTGTGTGGGGAGGATGCAGATACAATATGAAAATATTAAGCTTTGTTTCTAGAAGTCTGAGAGACCGTGGGAGAGAGAGAATATATATGTGTGTGTGTTTGGAGATGAATGTCTTAGTTGGCTGTAAGGAGCATGTGAGCTCTTTTAATCACTTCAGCTAGCATTGTTTTCTTACCACCACTACCCCTGAATTTAAAAAATATTAAGTGTAAGCATTTAGCAGCAGGGTATTGGTCAGCAATGAATACTATGCATCTTTTAAAAATGGTGACTTCATTGGTACCTCAGTTCATGAATGATTTTGCTTACAAACAGTTTAGTTCACAAACAGAAACATTGGGCAAAATTTTGTTTTTGTTTGCAAACTGTGCATCAGGTGACACACATACCTGCAGCCATCTTTCCAGTACAAACATGGACTGGCCATATTTTCCAGAACTGTGGAATGAATTAAGTTCATAAACTGAGGTACCACTGTATACTAATTGATACAGAGTAATAGAAATAGTTAACTGGATGACAAAGCAATATCATTTAGTTTTTCTGTTTTTACAGGTAACTGGTTATATGCACACATGTATACACATATACATAAAAAATTTGCAAAGCTCTTGCCCATAATTTCAGAGTTTTGATTTTATTTTTCTTTCCTTCATCATGTATGTGTTTGGAGAGAGATTGAACTCAGGGGATTGCCATTAAACTGTATCCCCAGCCCTTTTTATTGTTTATTTTGAGATACTAGCTGAGTTGTGAAAGTTGTCCAAGTTGGTCTTAAACTTGTGCTTCTCTTGCCCTAGCCTCCAGAATGCTGGGATTACAAGCATGCATCACCACATCTAGCCAGAGTTCCAATTTCTTGATGCTGTTAATTATAGTAGATGTTTCTTTTGTTTTTCTTATTATTTTTTATTAGACTAAATTCACTGAAAATACAGAGTGAGTCTTATTTGACTCTGTTGTCTAGCATGTAGAAAATATACAAAGTGTTTGTGAAATTCAGTTGCCATTTAGTTTGATAAAGGCTTGGTTGGCTATTAAGTTTGTTGTCATTCAGGTTTTACTTTAAAATGAGTTAAATCTGGCAATCAGATGAAAAAAGTGTTTATGTTAGGATTTTTGGTTTTGAAGGAGTGTTGGTGTGGGGCAAGAGGCAAAAGTAATCTAATTTAGGTCTTAGGTACTTTTAATCTGTTTCTTAAGGTATTTAGGTTTGTGGAAGAACATAGACATGCAGCTGTTACTTAATTTTGGTATTAGCTCTTGACTGTTGCCAGCAATTACTGACTTCTTCAATTCCATAATGATATTGTTTCCATTATTTCATATATGTACAGTTCCCTTTTCCTGGTCATAATGAACTCAGGTAAACACTAGAATTAGAATTGTTTCATCCATATTCTTTTTAGCTTATCCCTTAGTAACCAGAAATTAGAATTGTTTCATCCATATTCTTTAGCTTATCCCTTAGTAACCAGAAATTTAGGCATTAAGATGATAGATTTTACTTCAAAAAAAGTGTCTTTTCTGTACTAAAATAATTTGGGTTTAGCTGGAAGAACAATGGGTAGATGAAAGATAATAAAAATGAACTGTAGATAAGACATAACAATCTTAAATTCTGACTTATTGTATAAATTTTATGACATAAACAACATAACTTTCAGTTATTTTGTTATGTGATCCAATTCAACTCCATAATCAAACAAAATTGGTATTTGACAAACAGTTCATTAAATTAATAAAGACAGTGAACTTGATGGAGTCAAGTGGATTTTTTGGCCAGAAACTTAGTGAAAACTAGCCCAGGGCTTTGTCATATTTATTGTGTCAATGTAACTATGTAATTCAATGGGAAACGGGCAAAGTAAAATGGCACCAAGGAATTATATACTGCAGTTTACCTTTCAACATATGGAATGTCCATTTATATAAGATTAAGGTGCCAATTTATTGGTCACTATATGTCGTGGTTTGGAGTTTTTGCAAGCGGAACAATATAACACAGGAAACATATTTTATAAGATTATTCATAATAGTACCCAGAGAATCATATACAAGACAGTGCAGGAAATCTGTCCATACACTAAGGACCAAAGAATCCATCTGAGGGCCTAGATCCCACAATAATGTCCTGCATGAGTCCAGATGAAGACCTAGAGCCTATAACAATGTCTCCCACAAATCCAACTGGAGACCCAACATCTCATGCAAGCGTGTTTCACGGATCTGTGTTGGGAAGGCTCAAATGTCAGTGGTAGAATGTAGAAAGTCTGTGCCAGCAGCATGAAGGATCTGTGCTAGCAGGCTGAGGGATCTACACTGGAGCCAGGAAACAATGCTCAAATTAAGAACCAAAGCTCCCCGCAAAAGTACCACAGCCATCCTCAGCAACAGAGAGGTCCCGAGCTCCTCCAGTGATTAAGACAACTGAGTTCCCATTGGGAAAGCCAACGCAGCAAGCTTCTCTAGGAGACTGGTGGTGCACCATCTTACCCTCTGGAGCCAGGAAGCGATGCTCAAAGTGAGGACCAGAGCTCCCTCAAAGTGAACTGAAGCTATTCTCAGTGCCAGCAAGGTCCTGAGCTCCTCGGAGAATGAAAACAGCCAAGTGCATCAGGAAAGCCAGCATGACAAGCTCCTCCTAAAGAACCAACAGCTCCTTATAGCTTCTTTCAGCTTCCAACAGGCTCCCAACAGCTTCTACCAGCTCCCAACAGCCTTTACTTCTCCAGTTGTACCTCTTACGCTACTGGCAACAATCCTCAGGTGGGCCTCCCACACCCAGCACCACGCTTACTCAGTTCAGCTGGGGGTTATAAGTTGACCACCCATTGTCAATCCACTACACTGTATATTAGTCCAAAAATATGTATGTCTATTATCTAGTCATAGAGATTACCAAAATTAACAAATTAATGAAGCCAAAATTAATTTTTCTTCCTATGTTTACATAAAATCTGAGTACGTGCTTCTTTTGAAATTGTTACTTATCATTACACTAAGACATTTTATGTTTACATGCATTTATTTAATTTCATGGTTGAAACAGTCTCACATAGAGAAGTTGCAAGAGTGGTATAAAGTAACCAGGCTTTTCATAACTCAGTATAACCATCAAAATCAGGTAATTAACACTGAGACATCAACACATTACAAAAGTAATCCTGAATTGTCATTCTGTCTTAGTGGATGTCATGTGACTTTATCCTATTGCTATAATACTAACTTTGATTCCATGATTAAGGTGGTGTCTGCCTGCTGAGCCTCACCACTATGAAATTATTTCTTTCTGCCTTTGTAACTATTTTGTCCACACTTACTTTGAGACTGTTCCTTATCACACATTGTATTTAAGAACGAATAGATTCCTATTTTATTTAATTGGTTATTTGTTACTGTTTACTTTGCTGTTAACATCATCCCAGTAGGAGCTGCTTCATGATGGCTTAAATGTTTGTTTAATATGGTTCCTTTATTCTTTGTGCATTGCCTTAGTCACCAGGCTTGTCCATGTGACTTGGTTTTGCCAATGTAATGTGAGTTGATGTGATGTGTCCCAATTCTGAATAGGTTTTACTAACCCTGCATTTGTGCTGTTAATTGCTTCATCAAATATGTAAGTGAAACTACATCCAAAAACTATAGAAACTTCAGTCTTAACCACAAGAAAAAGATGAATAACTTGGTAAGTGTAAGCTTATGGCATTTAGTTTAAATAGAACACACATAAGAAATGGAGATGGAGTTCATTCGATCCAATTGGCCTAGAGTACATGTAATTGTGTAGTGCAATATTAGGTAAATATTTTATA